ACCCACAGGAGGTTCTGTCATTCAGACAGAATCATTCAGACTGGTCCCCAGTCCAAACATCAGTAGAATCAAGATCCCCAGTCCAACATCCTCAGTAGGACTGAGACCATTCAGACTAGATTGTTCAAGAGTTTGTCAAGTGAGGTCTTAGAAACTTCCAAGGATGGTGCCTACACAGTCTACTGGACCAATCCAGCCAAATGCTTGACAGTCCTTGTGGAGAAGCAACAGTTTTTGCTGCTCCTGGACCAGCCTTTGCCACTTAAGCTATCTGTTCTTGTGGCAACATAGCATGACCAATAGGAGACAGAGAATATGATGGCAATGTTTCCTGAGACCCACCTAGAGAATGCCCTAGCCTCGACTCAAAGGGCAGACAGATTGTGTTTGTAGGTATTGGGCACTGAGACAGACTATAAGTGCAATATATAAAAAGAGTCCCAGCTTACAAACTTTACAACATTGGGTACTACAATGTAGATGTATCAAAAAGCTTAAAAGAATGTGTTTAACTGCCTGATCATTCGCTGAGTTCTGGTGTTATATTTATTTTGACTGGTTTTTATTTCACTTACGAGGCTGAAAGGAACCTCATGAAATTCAACAAAGTGCAAAGTCCTGCATCTGGGAAGGAAGTACTCTCTGAAAAAATATGGGCTAGATATGGACTGTCTGGGGAAGAGCTCTCCTGGGAAGGTCCTGATGAAACTTGAGCTAAATGTGAGCCAACTTTGTGCCGTAGCAGCAGCGATCACTTCCTTCAATCTGCTGACCTGTTAATACAGCGTGACAGCAGATTAAGGGAAGTGATCATCTCCCTTTATTTGACATCCATCAGACCACATCTAGAATACCATATGCAGCTTTGGGTCCCTCAGCTCAAGAAAAGAAAAATATTGATAGAGTTTGGCACAGTATCACCAACATGGTGAGGAGCTGAAGTGTTTACCCTGCGAAGAGAGACTGAAGGAACTGGGTTTGTTGAGCCTGGAAAACAGAAGGCTTTGGTGACCTAGAAGGACTTGGGGGTGCTGGTGGGTGAGAGGCTGGACATGGGCCAGCAATGTGCACTTGCAGAAGCATTAGTTTGGCATAGAGTAATATTCAAGTTTCAGACAACTTGAAGAACTGCAGTCTGATGAACAGTAAAATAGCAGAGAGCTGCTTTGCTTGCTTATGTAACACTTAATATGAATAATTAAACCAATCTGTAGGTTCCTGGAGTGTACGAACAAAAGAGGAGCAATTACTGAGGTAAACATGAGCAACATACAAATAAGAGGTACAAATAAAATATTTATAGTAAACATATGGGAAAACATGAAGAGAACAAGATTTATCAGTCTATTTTACATTTCTGACTGCTGATTTCCCCATTGGGTTTTTAAAATTCTGGTTTTCTCTCTTTTTGAACTCAAGAGAAGAAAATTCCTTATCAGGAAGAGACCAGCATGGGTAGAAGGTGGCCTGAACAATCCAAGTCTCCTTTGTCTAAGTCTAACCTCTCAAAGTAGAATTCACATTACAGTCAAAGCCACAGAGTAATTTACATAACATTAACAGATACACAAATGTGATGTTTCCATACAGTAATAGTTAAATCAATAACTACTGACACTAAGGAAATATCTCTAAGCAACAAATATTAAATCAGTGTTATTCTTATGTTGCTAGCTTCAGTAGAAAAGAAGTTAAATGATCTATCACTTATATTCCAGTTTGTATCTCTACAGCTGTGCAGATACTGAGAAAGTGATAAATCATTCATCAAAAACCACAGCCATATGGCCAGCTGGATAGCACCTTAAAAATGTGAAACTGAAATACTTTGTAGGAAAACAGAATTTAACTCTCCTTCCTTAATTCTCCTTCTACTGCAAATGCACAAAATCTGTTTTGGATATTTCCCTGTAGTGTGGACCATAAATAGTAACTTTAAAATAAAGAGAAGTAGAAAGCACATGACAAAAGCACTTTATTTGACCCTATTCTACCAAAAATATTCTTACTTCCTGTGCTCAGCTTAATCCATCACAATATTCAATCATCTTAGCTGTATAATCCAATACTTATTCTCCACATTTGTGTGAGTTTATGTACTGAGAACATTAGGATGAAAGGATTTATTAACAGCCTCTCAACTGACATTTACAGGGGATTATGGTTATTCAGTCTCACAGAAGTGCTAACCTTATAATTTTTCTCTATTATTTCTTCAGTTTAAAGGTTCAGTCACAAAATTCCTGACATTAGGAGAGCACCATATTTTTAAAGACTCAGAATCTCTTCCTCAGCAGCCAGAATCTGTAAGCTGTGTCTGTGTCTGTGCCTCCCACTATGTCACAGTGATCAAATACGCATTAAAGCATTTTGAGTGTCTAATGGGGCAACCTGCTACTAAAATATGATAAAGGAACAGGGTCTTAGACCAGCCCTGTATATAGCATAAATTAAATCATACTACAAAGCAGGAGTTGTATACAGGGCAGCCTCTGTGGCTTCCTTACCTGCAGAGATAACCAGGTCTGGAGAAGACTTACCCTAGGCACTTAAAACACCACTAACACTCTCCCAGGAGTTACTTAGGAGAGAGAAAGGAGCTTATTCTCTGGGAGGTGTTTTCTATGATGGCACAGAAGCAGTATTAAACACTGTATTCAGTGTGGAGAGTTCAAACCTGCAGTTTTGTACACATTTATTTTTATCTCTGAAAACAGATGCAGGCAATTCCACACCATGGGAGGAGAGGACTGTAATCTTTAGGATTTACTGAAGCTCATGAAAGCATACTACAAGTACTACACTGAATTTGTATTTGCAGCAATAACTTTCCTGATATGTGGTGAAAAAAAAGCAAAGATTTGATCATGGATCTTAATACAGAGACAGTATGGACATAGGCCATAAATATCCTCACTCTTAGGAAAGCCACTGTGCCCTCAAAAAGATAAATTTGAGATGTAAATCTTTAAGCAGTGACCTGAATTGCCGGACAAGGAAATTTGAAACAACCTAAGAGAATATGACATAAAAAGGTATGAATGTCCAAATTAACATAGTTACATGAGTATGCTACATCATTCTTGAGTATTATGGTTCACTTAAGCACATTTCTCAAACTATTTACAACAACAAATTTGAATAATTTGTATCCTAACTAAATTATTGAGACTAAATCCATATTTCTACTTGCTAGGAGTTTTTATAGAAATTGGATGCTGCATCCATAAAATACCTGCCTTTATATACACTGAGTATATAAATGACTAAATCTGTACCACATGATGTTGAATTGAAAAAATATCTGCAATTTTCTCAAATTTTCCACTGCAAGCTAAACTGCCTGCATTTGAAGGCAAATGAAAAGAAAGAAAACACTGATTGGAGATTTAGTAGAACTTGTCATGGGCCCTTTTTTATTTCCTTTCATTTCAGCAGTAAAACATTTCCTCAGTTGATCTGATTACTAACCCCATTTGGGCTTCAGTCTGCTACAAGTAACTGGATCACTCAGCAGGCTGCAAGCACTGGTAAGTGTCACTACCTTGGTGCAGAGGCAGCTGACTAATATTCAAAGATACCACGACACATACCATGGCAGCTCAAGTCAGCCTTCATTTTTACCTTTTCTTCTTCTTTCTTACAGAGATGTTAATTTTGTAGGTTCCATTCTTCAAAGCCTTTGAGAATTTTATTTAAGTTGCAGATTAACTGTGCTGTACAATGCCCCCTGTACCACTGTGACTGTGCCCTACGTGTGCCCATGTGTGTACGCATACAGGAGCGGGATATGGAAGGAAACTACACCATAGTCTGTCAACCTGGATAACAGAGAATCAACTTTATATACCCTTCCAGACTGTCTTGCAGTCCTAGAGAAAAAAAAAATGAAGCTCACAGAGATTTAATCCATATCCATAAGATAAAACTGTATGTATAACACACATACACACTGGTAGGCAGAATGTTCAAGCCCAGACAGACACCTTCAATAATCCCAGAATACAAAGCAAGTTATTTAGGTAGCTTTTCTAAGACTGTTTCAGGTTTATCTTACTCATCATGTTGAGGTTTTCCTCAGGACTCCTCAACCCTTCCTTTCTTTTTTTATTTGTCTGATTTCACAGTTGACCCAGCTAGCAGTAGGACGTTGAACTAGAGACCTCTTGAAGACCATTCGTTATTTAACACTGTGGCTCTGAAAGGAGTGGCATCTTTATCACCTGCTGATCACCCACCTCTCCTACAAATTTTGAAACCTGTTTAAGTTATCTGGATCCATACCTGAGAAGTTAAACTCTTCAACTTAAAAGATAATAAAAGCTCTCCAGCAGTGATATGTCTTCAGTTTGGAGTCTACAAAAACCAAGCTTAAATTTGAAACTTGATTTCCTTTCTCACAGCAGCATCGCTACTTAAGTCTTGCAACACCATGATAAAGAAATTTGATTTTATTTACTTGGGGCAGCTGCCATAGGCTGGTCTCAAGCTGAACATCTTGATATCTATCACTGTTCTGCTTGTATCACATCTATCACAGTATTGTCTCATTCCAGAATATTCAAAACAAATAACATATTCCAGCTAAAGGTTCCAGCTAACAATGCCATGTGTAACTAACTTCTTTTCATTTAAATACCCAGCGTACCAACACTGTGTGTGCCACCTGCAGAGAAGTTCAGAATCATCTTTCCTGCCATGTGCAGAACAAGTAGTTCTTCCACCATCAGCATCATTTCTATGCTGAAGCTCAAGACTGCAACCTGTTAAGGGTCTTCCATGAGGCACCTCTTTGAAAAACCCTCAGTACCACACCAGAAAAAACAGAGTTTCACAGTCTGCTGAAGGAGTGATTGCTCCCATGCTGAGCACTTCCCTGGAGTCGCGCTACACAGACTAGCACTGATGGACTACTGCTGCTTTTCAGCCTTGGCTGGCAGAACAGAGACAGAATTTGGCCTTCAGTTCATAAACATTTTTCTGGCATGGGCTACACTTACCTCCTGGACAATGCCTCATGGCCATTTTACACCGTCTGGATTCTGCAATGGTTGGACATGGTATTGTGTCTTTTGCTGGCTTCTTCACAATTTGTCTGGTTCTTGTTTCCAGGCCCCACTTAAATCCACATGTTTTGTTATTTCTGCTGCAAGTTCCCCACTCACTCCATTGACCCACTTCACAGCCTTCTGATAAAGCAAAAGAAAACACAAGTGATCAATTCTTCTGGGTTTTTTTGGTTTTTTCTTTTTTTTTTTAACTCAAATACACTGTACATTGTTAGAAAGCAACACTTGACAGTTTTACCATTAGCAGATAAAAAGCTAGAAACAAAATTTTAATCTCTTACAGAATCTGAGTCTTTTTAGTCAGCATCAACCCAACCAAAAAAAAACCCAGAGTATCAAACTGTATGTTTGATAAGTTATGACAGTCCCAAATATTCAAAAACTCCCCTAAAATAATGAGATTGACCTTTTTATCTTATCTAATATATAGATCCTATTTGGTTGTCACCTGGGTTTGAAAACTTCAGTTCACATTTCCAAGTCCTCTCCATCATGAAATGCAAGAAATACTCGTGAAAGATTTTGTTCTGACACAAGTCCTGAAATCTCATGAATTCTGAGTTGCAAATCTTCATACAAGGTGATTTTACAGTTAAAAGGACAGAACTTTCTGATGCACAATAGAGTGGCATTCCCACTGAAGCATATTTTAAAATTTGGAAAAATTTACTAGTATTACCAGTAAAGAAATCAATAATAATTCATTACTGAATATTTCCTGATAAGAAATACTAAGCATCACCATAAAGTAGCGTCGTATTTGAACATGGCTACCTGGCAAAAGAGCTGCTTGACTCACCCACACATTCCATAAGCTCTTCCAAGGCTGCAAATCCAGCGGGACATCCTCGAAAGCAGCGGCCTCTGTGTGAGTAAAAGCCACTTTTGCATTTGGTACAAAAGTCTCTGCTAAAGCAGGAGTCGCAGTTTTCTATTCTGCATCCTAAATCAGAAGGATCATAAGGAACAATGAGACACCAAAGTTAGGGTAAGACTGAAACTGAAGGGATTTATAAAGGAATAAAATAGCAAAGCCAGAAATCCTATAATACTGTCATCCTGAAATGCATCTGGTGTATAGACAAAATTAGAGGTAACTGTTTACCACATTTTCCTCTATGTCCTTCTAATCCTACTTTTTTTTTTAAATCAAACTGAAGATAAAACCCCTAGTTTAATTACATTTCAATTATTGACATCTCTTTGGAGGAAAAATGTTCAGTATAAATTATTTTCATGTGTAAGTGATTTCGATGAAACTGAGATGCAACAAATTATTTTGGGAAGCATGCATGTATTATATGTATTGTCTTCAGTTTATAGTTTATCACTGAAAGCAGGATACCTTCTTTTCTATGAGTTGACCCTATGAATAGCTGAGTGGATGCTTTCATGTAGTATATTTGATGTCCGTGTCTACCCATATGCATGTGCAAAAAGCCTCAGTTTTGATGGATTTAACTCCTCTCTGTTATTGAGACATTTAATCCACAAAAAATAACCATACTTAAATTACTAGGAGACATACACCATAATGAATATATTAAAAATTAAAAAAAAAAAAACAAAAAAAAACAAACCAAACAACTATTATCTTTATGAAATATTGTATATCTCTGAAAATTTAAGAGGAATATGACCTGCCATAGATGACAGACTCAGGTGTAAGCTATTCAGAAATATCCTATTCCATATTAAAACTATTAATGATCATATGTATACCATACCTACCTACAAAAAATACCAGGGGAAAAATATTCCAATGACTAGAAATTTTAAGCTATTACATTTAGAACGGTAATGATAATTTTATAATTAATTTTTAAAAATCTAATCCTTCAGCTAACAAAATTAAATAAAATACACTAGCTGTATCCACTCTTCAGCTATCTGAAGCCATAACAAGAAGCATTTTTTATTCATGTTATGCAACAAAATAATAATAATTTTGATAATTCTGTCACTCATTTATTCTTCATTCTTTTATAATGGAAGAAAAAAAGCACAAAACATAAGGTCACTATTCTGAAACAGCAATTAGTAAATATCTCCAATCAACACTTCAAATTTAGCCAATATTTATGAAACAGATTTTAATATTTATTCTTGAACTTCAGAAGGCCAAAACAGGGCATCCCACAATACTTAAACAGTGTGTGTGTGAGTGTGGTTGTGTAAAATTCTTTGTTAGCAATTAGGGAAATATGACACTTTTTAGAAATCAAATTTCTTGTGACATTGGGCAAAAAATTAGGCAGATTGAATGAAAAGAAAAATGTATATTTCTAGTAGTGTTGACCTTTGCTTGGTTAAAAGGAATGTGAGCATCAGTTTGAAGTCTTGCCCTGACAAAGGTAACCTCTGCTGGCTCTATTTAAACACAACCACACATAACCTGAATGTACCAACTCCTGTGTCCAGCATTTTCCAAAGGGGCTTTTAAAACTCAAGTTCATATAAGCAGCATAACCTGGGCTTCTTGTCCACACTTAGGGTCATAGGAAATTCCTTAGAATAATGATTTCTTTTCACAAGGGTTGAACCAGTCCCTAAAGAACAGGATCCTGGTCAATGTCCACACAGTGATCCTGCAAAATTACTTTCCCAGATTAATGAATTGCAAGGCAAAACCAACCAGGTGAGCTTCTCTGGAGATGTACCACAATACTTAATTGCTAGTCTGGTTTGTTACACTCAAGGTGTACTGCAAGTATTTTATTAAATGCAATGCTTGAGTCAAACATCCTGTGTATTTAAATATTCAGAAAAAACACTTGCCTCTTGCCCAGCCACCTGAGACACTTGAAAAGAAATCAAGGTTTTTACAAATCGTGTAGTCCCAACAATAAGATGCAGACCAGAACATTGAAAGAAAAATCAGCATCTTGCAACCCTCCCTCACATCCAAGTGACACAACAATTTTTAAACAACATTTTAACTATTGCTTTCAAAAAACATTCTGAGAGTAACATGCTACAAGCTTTTCTGTGTGTGTGTGGAAGAGAGACTTTCAACAGAAGCTAGCCTTTGACATGATACAGACATGCTTGGCGGGTGGAAGCCGGTCTCACTTTGCACTGGGGATTCCCTCCATAAAACTATCATTCATTAAATGAATAAATAAATCCTCTTTCAGTTTTGATCATACTTCAAAACTCCCATCTTGTTTGTATTTTCTGCTTTACCTGCAATGCCAGCTTCCTTTTGCCAGCAGAGTCCTTGAGATAACTATCTTTGAGAAGCTTTAGTCTGTGAAGGCTGGGTGAAGGTTGGATGAAGGTTGGGTGGAGATTTCCACCAAGAGTTTATTTTCATTTTTTTCCTATGAAAATAAACTACTCCAAACATGAAAAACTATTATTTAATCTGTATCAGATGCAATTAGGGGAAAATAGTGAAAGAGTATTAAAAATACTGTAAGAATTCTGAAATTAAAATAATTCATCAGAGTGATATTCATCACAATGCTTAGAGTTACTGAGTGCTAATCATAATGATAATTTAACTGTAGCTGAAGACAAATTAGGAGTGACAACAACCTGACTCAGCCTGACTCTTCTACAATTTCACCAGTGCCCAGTGTCCCCATCACCATGACACTCACTCCTTTCAACTCCTGCTCCCATCCTTCTGCTGCTCACTAGAGCAGCTTTGGTGCTACAGATCCAACTTCACACTGCCATCCTGAAGTGTCCACTGGCACTCTGCACTCATCTGTCATTGACCAGCAACACCTTCTGTGCTATTTTTTTTTGGTATCTGAACCCCCTGACTGCTACAGTTTCAGTTACAACAGAGGGTCATACGCTCTACTATACTACATAAGTATAGTTCAAGCAACAGCATATTTATGAAGTCTTTCTATTTTGTAACACTATTAAAAAAATTCATTACCTTTCTTAATGCATTGAATTAACTACATGTGTTTAATAAATGCTCAATTTGTTTAAAAGTTTCTCTTTATCTTGTTTTTACTGAAGGTGAATGGAAGGGGAAATTACAATGTCGGACCCACCTAGGATAAAGAGGGAGAACCTAAACAAATAAGTAGTCAACCAGAGCTGAAGGGAGCTGTAATTTCTAATCTCTGACTGGTTTCTCCTCCTGAAATTATACAGGTTACTACGGCCATGGACTAAGTTGAAAGGTTCACATTAGGCTTGATCCATTAATCAGTGCAACCACCAAACTGACAGGTTTCATCTTACTCTTTAAATTCAGTTCTGGTTTTTTCTTATGAGATCATCTCTTGTTGGAGCAGTTCAGTTCAAAGTCATTAATTATTAAAAATGTATTGGAAAATTAACAAAGTGTAGCTCATCTCTTGGGCTTTCTTCTACAGAAGAGATTCAACACTTTCCAAGTTCATGTCCAAAAGGACTGCATTCTCATACTGCAGTGTTCAAGGTGAAAATCATATCCAGCAGGAAACTGCATTGATTTCTAGAGACAAGTAGTCTCAAATTTCATGATTCACTGTTACTAGAAAAATAGTCTAGAGCCACTTAGCAAATTCTAGGAACACATACTGCTTACATGTAGAAAAGAACATTTGTCTTGAAATCTAAAATTTCCATTTTAGAGCTGCTGTGCTTGGCTGTGGTATTTATTGTATTACATTTGGCACTGACCATGTTTGGCTTTTAAAATCAAGACATCACTTTCCATTAAAATATGTTCTATAGCTTCTCTAAAAAAATGGGAAAATGTTCCAGCATAAAATGTTAAAAATCTTTTGTGCCTATGAAGACACTATTGGGGGAGAAATAATTTCAGTTTATGTAACTCAAGTCCTATAACTCCCATAAGGATTTTAACATAGCCAAAATTTTTATTATTTTTAGCTGAGATAATACTAGCTGAGCAATGGAATCTGTAAGCATACCAAAGAAGAGCAAGTAGGAAGAAACCTATTCAATTTTAAGGATGTTTATTTCAACTCAACTTCAATCAAGAAAATGTTTGTATGTCCACAATGCTTCATATGTGCAAACCAGTATCACCAAACCAAAATAAAAGAGAAGTGATGTTTAAATACAGCAGTTAGCAGTTACATTAACATAAAAATATACAATACAAATATCATCAGAGGAGAACCAGGACTGGTCCATAATGCAAGTGCATCATTATTCTCAGAGAGGGGGGACTGTCAAAGGCATGAGGCTGAGATAAACATCAAGTGCTCAACACATACCAGTATGGGTTAGACACAACTTGCATTTATGCTTTTCAAAATCAATCCTGCAATTCAGGGGAAAAGGCCACTTTCCATAAGTGGTAAAAGCAAAAAAAAAAAAAAAAAATATTATTTTGAATTCACCCTCCACCTTCTGCAATTAACTTTTCTGGTTTTGTTTTTTTTCTTTTTAAGAAACTAAAGAATACTGCCAATACAGACTACTTTGCCTTTCTCACAAGCACAGTACAGGCTAATAGAAATAAATCAATCTATTTCCTAAACCTACAAATATATTCAAAAACATTTTTACATGGGGAAGTATTTACAGCCAAGTTTTGAAATATTTCAAGTACAGAAGTTGTTGAATTCACAAACGTGTTAGGAAAATTAAGGCCAATATTCTAAATTACTTTACAAAATGGATACATAAACCATAAACTGTCTCATTTAATTTTTTATCAAAACTTAACCACCTGGTACAGATTAGGCAGCACTCTCCAATATTACACAGCAGTTGGGAATACTATATCCAAGGAGCCCACGCAGGGAATGGGGAGAAAGAGGTGGGACTGCTTGGGACAGGTCCAAGCATGGCCATAAGTGCTCCTCATCCAGCCAGACTGCCACTGAGTGACCTCATGTGAGTCTCAAGATTATGTGTGATGTGAAAAGCAGCACACGCTTTCTCACAGCTCTGTGCTCCCAATGACATGGCACAGCACTAGGGGAAAGGTGCCACACATTTAACAGACATGTGATTATTGCAGGAAAAAAAAGAAAAGCTATTTCTCACTTCAGGTTCTTATGTCAGGTGACCTGATTCTGGTTAGACTATGACAAAAACATTCTCCCCCTAAATAGAAATAAGAGGTAATAGCAGTGATTAATAATCCATGTGGGTAATACTCCACATATGAGCACATGGAAAAATCGATACAAATCAGCACAACTGCCAGACAGAGGTGAAATAATGTGAGATACCAGAGCACTCATGGATTTTAACAGTTGTGCTTCTAGGCACAAACATGCAAACAGGGAATCTTGTTGCACATTAGCAGGTTGTAAATTTCCAAATAAAATGTTTCACTAAAAGTGAAAGGTTGTTTGTTTGTTTTTAATAGTACATCTGTTTTATTAAATTAGCAACACTTACATATTAAAGCATGTCTGGTGTGAGGTGTCTGGTCACCTGAAATTTGTGTGGGAACAAAAAATATGACAAAAAGCCCACCCATATATTAGTGTTTATACTGACTTGTACATGCAAAATTAATTCTGAATTGTGCATGTAAAATTAATTCTTAATTGTACACGTTAAATTCATTCTGAATCCTTTTCATTTTCATATAGTGGGAATTTGTTTCTTAAAACTAGGAGTATCTACGTAAATCACATATTTTTTCCTTAAATTACCCTTCTTATTAAATTAATAATAATAATAACAACAATAAAAAATAGGTCCATTTATCAACTACTTAATCTGCTGAATGTTATATATCTTAGAATGAGCTGGGACCTTCTTTAGCAAAGTTTTAAGATGATCTTGAAACATCTGTGAAAATACAACCACGTTTCACAACATATCATCTTAAAAACCGAGCATGAATTATGGCTTTCTGCCAAAAAGGGTGCAAGAAACAACTCACTTGAGCATCTGTTCATGTCTGGCGTCCTTAGTCCGTAGTAGCCCGACGGGCAGGAGTGCAGGCATTCGCCGTACTGTCTCATCCCTTCTCTGCGCAGGAAGAAGAACAACTTGTGCTGGCATCTGATGCACCCATTATCCTTTGAACAAGATAAGCAACCTTTGCAAATTGGATTTGGTCCATAGTTAGCTGTAAAATAAAAAGATAAGTTACACTTTAAGGTCATTTGGAAAGTATTTTGGCTGGAGGTCCTCTGTCCATTAAAGTGTTACTCATCTTTTGCATGACTACAAAAGGTTTCAAAAGGAGGGTTCCGAGAGTGCACTCACTTTCAGACATCTGCACTGGCACTGAATAAAAAGAAATGCAATCTCTACAATTTTTAATTGTATCTAGGGCTGTTTAATAATTTTATACACATTTAAAATACAGGCACAGGCAAGCAGAGACCAAGCTTTATAAATCTCACAGTATAAAGTTGGATAAAAATGCAATGCTGCATTCTATGAAGCTGGGGACATAAGCACACAACAGCAACAAAATATAAGAACTTCAGCACCCTGATATATGCACATGGAATGGTATGCCCATGGAAACTGAGCAACACCATTAATGTAATTTCTGATTTGTGAAGCGAGCAATATTCAGAGTACAGAAGCCTCTGCAGAGCAGGTACAGCACTAGCAATGTGTGCTGTCCCCTCACTCTCAGGGTCCTAGAACAGCTGTCTTCTTACTGACTCTTCTTGACCTGAGTATCAAGACAAATTTTTCAAAAAAAAAAATAAAAGCAGTTTTAAGAGCCTTCTTCTGCAAAATTTTACCCAAAATGGGCTGAAAACCATATGCCATTACCAAAGAAGCACATTTAGTGCAGGTTACCATTTTAGGTCACCAGCTGCTGTGCATTCAAGTCTCTGCTCTGATTTTGTTGGATTATTTTATTTTTTTCTTTTAAATTGATAACTGCAACACAGACTTCAGCCACATCACTCTTTCTTCTTTTATTATTCTGCCTTTTTGCAGAGTTGCAGAACACTCCTTTGTCCCCATGGGCTGTTAAGTCCTTCTCAGGTGCTGGGTCAGCACAGTAGGTTAGCAGAGGGAGGATGACTCAAGACATTCCTGAAAACAGCACAACTTTGCAGGTCTGTTTTAAATATTAAATTGGCTACAGGACTTCACAGAATTTTGCCTGTTCAAACCTGGTTTACTGAAAACAAAAGAAAAATATTATGCAACAAAGGAAAGTGTCTTTGAGGTCTCAAGAGGTTTCTAATAGAGGCCACCCAGGGAGCAGCTCACCAAAAAGGCCTATGTTTAATTGTTATATTTTTAAATATTTAAAGTTATTCACACCCTTATGTAGTAATCTGGTACTTTTACCTGGTATGGCTGGATAATTGAGGTTGTTCAACTGATGACTTCACCAGCAGAGTCAGGGGATAAAAAAAAAAAAAAAAAAAAGCCCAAGGAAAAGCCCACCATCCTCTGGAACCAGTAGCTGATAAGCTTTACTCTCACCTTCACACATCTGCACACCACATTCCAATTCCCTCTCTGCTCCCATCCCCCACACAGGACTCACTGAGTTCAGCATGACAGCATTCACCTCCAGTCTTGTACAAATAATCCTAGTGGGTGGCAGGCAGGACAAGTGAAGCAATCTGGTGTGAAACAGCTCAGTCAGTGGGACACTTTCTGAGTGCTGGAATCACCTACCAAGAGGTAGGTGGGAACCTCTTGAAGGGAAAAGAATCCCTACTCTTCATGGTATATGTATGATTCTTCAGCACTCTGTTAACCCTTTTGTAATGAGACACCCTAACAGACCAACTGCCTTACACTCCTAAACCAGTTCCCACCTCCTGTTGCCTACAAGACTTGAGATATAACTAGGAATATTCCTATATCTATAACTAGGTTTCTGGGGAAGGGTCTGTGAGGAGCTGCTGAGGGAGCTGGGGTTGTTTAGCCAGGAGAAAAGGAGGGTCAGGAAGGACATAATTCTCTACAAATACCTGAAAGAGAGGTCTAGCAAGGGGGAGTTCAGTCTTTTCTCCCAAATTACAAGCAATAGGATGAGAGAAAATGGCCTCAGTTTGTGCCAGGGAGGTTTAGATTGGGTATTAGGATTTTTTTTTCCAAGGAAAGGGTTGTCAAGCCTTGGAAAGGGCTCCCCAAGGAAGTGGTTGAATCACTATCCCTGGAGTTATTAAAAAAAGGTGGAGATGTGGTGATTAGGGACATGGTTTATTGGTGGACTTGGCAGTGGTGGGTTAATGGCTGTTTTCAATGATCTTAAAGGGTTTTTCCAACTTAAACAATTCTATGATCTTGTGGAACAAGAATTAGGCTCTGGAGCAGATACATAGCAGGGCTCCATGTAGATTTTTCTGCCATCTTCTCTCATGGATCTCCATGAAAATTCTGACTTCTTTGCCTCAAAATGTGTCTGAGTTGATTCTACTCTCCAACTTTCCTTTATTACTGCCACATGTTACTCTTACCAAGCACCTTTTCTGTCTATTTCTGGTAAGTTGTCTTTATCGATAACTCCTTCTTTCTTCAAGCAAATTTAATTATGCTGACTCCTCTTGGCTTCAGCTCCATAGAAAAGGAGCTAACAGCATAAAATGAAATGATCTTCCATTATTCTATGCTATTATTTGTTCAGGAAATGGATGGAACATCTTTCACAGCTCAAGGTCAACTCAAGATATATTAAAGACTTCAGTAATAGATTAATTCTGTAAATTTTATAGGTTTCCCAAACCATGACACCTGGGCCCTCCTCCTTCTTCATCTCCTGACCAGCCTTAAAATTTTTTTTTTTTTTATTTTTATACTGTATGTTTTTAACTTCTTATAGAAATGCTCCAATATTCAAAACTTGAAAACTGTTCTGAAATCCTCAGATATATTGTATTTATTGTTACTTAAATGATCAATTATTTAATTCACACATTGCATTTTTACAGTGTTCAAAATCTTCACTTAATTAATGGTCACATATTGATGAATTTCCCTGTTGGTCTCCTAGTTTTTTTTCTTTCTTCAGCACATTAAGAAATTAAAAATCACTGAAGAATTATAATGGTAAGGGGAAAATAATATGATTTGTATAAGATAATATGATTTTTCACAAAGAGCTAAGCAGCACAGTGGGAACTTTCACAAACTTCCCACTGTGCTGCTTAGGCATTAAACTGAATGTTTCTGGGTAATTTGCATATCATAAATTACTGTAAAGTGTGTACGACTGAATCGATCTTCTTCAACATTGTTATTGCTTGTTTTCCTTTCAGAGCTTCATGGGAAGGTCTGAATTCTGCAACCCTTCCATTATTTCAATTTCTCCCAGAGCCAGGGAAAATTGTGATATGATCTACTAACAAATTACTTGGACAATGGACATACACATTAACAAATGAAATACAGAGCACTGGTTTTGGGGTCACGTAAGGATGCCATCTTGAAGATACCCACTTAACTGTGCCTCTTTTGACCCTATATATATAGGCCTAAGAAAAACCCTAAAGAAATCCTAAATCCTAAGAAATCCTCCCTGCCACAAATTCTTCCCTTCTCAGTTTCTTAACACAGCAAATTGGATGTATTGTTATCACATACAGCTTTTCCAGTTCACATATAATTGCTATTTGAAGAGGAAGCAAACGCCTCCGCCTTCAAGAGAAACATCTATACACTTCCTTTTTAATTTCTTCATAACTTCTTTTCCCCCCCCTCTATATTTGTTTGCAAGAAAAAATAAAAAGCCTATAAAACATGGTCTATCACATTCCAGATTACTGACTGTATCACATGCAATGTAAAACATCATGCTACTCATCCTTATTTCAACCCTGCCAGGAGCACCCTCCTCATCCCTGTGCACCAGGCAGGCAGGCAGGTCTCCTCCAGCCAAATCCCTCATGGAGACTTGCTCCTTCCACACGGCCCACAAATGTTAACCAGTGTCAGAGTGCTGCTGTCATCACATCACAAAACTGAAAATGCACACATGCTGTAAGCTAGCACCATCCTCTGGCTCTCAAAGCACACGATTGCCTTCGTTATCTATTAAGACTGTAAGGTCCCTGCAGCAGGAGTAACATTTTGAACAGCCACATTAGTATGTACACAGGTGTGAACACTGCATATGAACACAAGCACACACCTTAATACAGGTAACGCATTTTCTATTCCTTCTGCTTCTACAACTATAGTCCAGAGCGCCTCCATAGTTAAAGAAAAAACATTTACAGACTTGCTTCCCCATATAGTGCCTTTATTTTAAATCTGGTATTAAATTTGCCAAGTTTCAAAAGGTTACTTGAGAACACAGACTAGTACCCAAACACTGAATGAAACACCCTAAGGGTGTTCAAAGTTTCATGGTTTGGATCCATATCAAGTAAAATCAAATATCAGCTAATTATTTTAACTCTTGTCTAGATCAAATGTATTTAAACCACACTGCTGAAGCAGATTTAAGTGGGTTGTTATGACTATTTGAAATCACAAGAGAATCAAAATGAGTCTAGCCTGTTCTCCACAAGAATACAAGTTGTTCTGTAAGCAAGAGAACTTAAGAGCATTTGAATTTCTGTGATCTTACTGTCCTGCAGCCCATACTACAACTGCTCCTAATTTGTGTCTTTCTTGTATACCCATTTGTTGGGTGTCACAAAGCTCTTTTGAACCTGGTGCTTCAGCTTGCCACAAGAACCTGGTGTTTTTATGCTTCTGTGAAAACCAGGCTGAAATAGACAAATTAATCCAAAACCAGTTGGAGAACCTGGCAGAGAAACAAGCAGTAAAGTCATTCCCTAAAAAACATTTCTTTAGAGAGCCAGGCTAACATGCTCACTATGTCCCTAATATCGCTTGCTATCTGGTTGCTGTGTCTCTCTTTGGCAGTCTTTGGTCTTTTGAGCTCTCTGAAGTCAGAAACTAAGCTTGCAGATACAATGGCCAGCTTAATGACACTCTCACCCTAACTGGGACTGCAGCCACAGGAATGCTGGTAACTGGATTTCAGTACAGATCTAGCAGAAATGTCTCCAAGACACTTACCACTGTAAACACGAGATGTGCAGATGGGACTCAGAGGAGGTGAGGAACTAAAAGACCACTACAAGCTGCACTTATTGCAAAATAGTAGATTTCATAATCCTGAATTCAATT